TATATTTCAAATTCCTTTAATATATTAAACTATATCTAATAACTTGTCGAGAATAAAGTGTATGCACTTGATCCCGTAGAGGATAAGTGCATCCGCTCCTAGTTGCTACTATATAATAGTTTTACCTTTTCTTAATTTAACCACATTGGATCATTAAATTTGAATTTGGAGACCTTATACAGCTACCTACTCTATTTCCAATGCCTTTAAAATCGTTCAATAAATGGTAATAAAAGGGGACAAGATCACATGTCATTGAAGGCTCAATTTCAGTAGCTTTTCCACATGCTTGCTTTTCTAGAGTAAGTATTCTAGATGTGAACCACAAGCTAAGCATCTAGGCCAACCCCAACCACCTCCTAGGGGTATCCAAATTCCAACATGACCATGTTAATTTCTTTTATGTATTTAAAAATTCATTTAGAAGATCATAACCTCGAAAATATATAATCAAAAACGAGTTTCAGAAGCTGATAAATAAAAACAAAAACTTGTTTATTCAAACGGATCCCTAGCAGCCACATTCAAATATAGATAAAAGAAACATGCCTAATCCACTGAATGAACATTATTTATAATCACCACTGTTATACATATCTACAATATGACAGGATGGTACCCGAAAATCCAGCCACCCTCGATCCCGAAAGACACCAAGCTTATTAACTAACCCGAGCTTCCATACGGTTTTTCCCTTTCATCACCTGTGTTTTACATGATGAATTGAAAGCCACGAGGCCCCGGTTTTCTTATGCTTTTGCCTGCAAATGAGATCACTCAAGATTAGGAGAAGCAGGAACCGATCATTCTCGGTATAAGATACTGCTAATTAAGAATTAGAGAAAACAAGCATATTCTCTTAGAATGAAATGATGGAATCTGTCTAAACCATCTTTGGCTAAACCACAAAAGAAAAAACCATCACACTGATTCAGATAATTCAACTTGTTCATTGAAGTCACCAACCACTGAAAGATGTCAACTGTCATATTGGCAGCTAGTACCGCCTGCCTCGGTGACAACATCTATGGAGTATAATTCTCCACTAACTACAACACCCCACTTGACCCTTAATAATCGGTAAGTCATATGCCCTCAACTATCGTAGATTCAAAAGATTCATAAAAGTTCAAACCACAAAAATCTTGTAGGAGGCACCGAGTATGTTTAGGTGTAAAAATGGTCCAACAAACCGATAAAAAAAGCCTAAATCTGAAGATATTTGAGAATTAGATCAATAGCATAGACCAACAATTAATGAACAAATTGTTGGATACAAGAAAGTTAAGTTCAAAAAATTATGAACAATACTAACCTGAGAGTACAAGAAGGTACCAAGGATGGCGATGGCAGCTCCGAAAGCATTGATGGGTTGGACAGGTGTGTGGAAGATGATGATAGACGAGACTATAACAGAAATACGTTTCATGGTGTTACCGATGCTAAATGTCAAGGGAGAGATCTGATCAAGGGACATGTAGGAGACTTGGTTGTAGAGATGATAGAAAATACTTTGGGCCGCCACCCACCTATCAAATAGGTAAAGTCCATGAACAACTTGTTAGCAAACAGGAAGAAGTAAAATATTATGAATCAATACAGTTAGATTTCATGTACATAGAGAGGATCTTCTGGTTCAAAATTTATAGAAGAAAAGAAACAACGAGGTTTTCAATTCCAAGACGAACATTGTGGTAACAAAAACTGCATCACGAAAAGATGAATAGCGGTACAATCTCTCAAATGTGATTGTTAGTAGTGTAGTTCAGGCTATATGTGGGTCTTGAGGCATATTATATACTATTCAGTAAACATTAAACAAACGGAACAAATGAGCTAAGTTACTCTGACTCTGATGTGTCGGATAAGGTATGTTTAGGCACGGGTATGTTTAATTGCATTCCATAATATACTTCAGATATCTGAATATTTCCAGTATCTTTCTATCAGTCAAACAGAAGATAGGGCATCTAAGTTAATTATTTTCGCAAATAGAAATTATGAGAAAGTTCCAATAAGTTCATCGAATGCCTTCAAAGCATCTAGCAGATAAGGAAACAGATAACATTAAGAGAAAGGAAACAGAACAAGGAATTGAGATTTATTACTGCAATGTAATTACCAGACGAACTGTGGTCCGATTTCAGATAAGGCCCTTTCCCATCCTGCAGCCCACAACTGAGGTCCTTCTACGGCAACCGCAAAAGGTGTGAGTATCAGAAGCGACAACATAGATAGACAAGCGTAGTAGTTCATCCCGCTAACGGATTTCCCTTTCATGCCTTTCTTGGAGAATATGTTACGGAAGACAAATGCCAAGTTCGATATCATAGCACCCATAAAACCTGAAATACACGGAGAACAACCAAGTCCATACTCCGGTGACATCCCGTCAAATCAAATTGTTTAAAACCACAATCTCAACCTCAGCTACCATGGCAACTGAAATGCTCTGGAAATAAACATATGAAGCGGAATGATGGCGGCCACATATTGAACCCTTTTGGGTTTGGATGTTAAGAAAACTGAGGTAACACCAAAAGTTTATTGAAAAAGAGCTTAGGCCTTAGTGAACTCGGTTTCAAATAATGGGATATTGACCTCATAAAGTAGACATTTGGAGAGGATTAAAACATCAAAGTAACAACTCAATATCCATACAAAGAGATTAAGTTTACTTTACCGGTCATGTTGAAGTTAAGTTCAGTAACGGCAGCAAGAGCGCAACCACCGATGATTGGAACAAGGAGAGGTACACGGCCGGAGGGAAGGTCTCTCCGAGCAAGAACCTAGAAACCAACACACTGAAAGCTGGCTCACCACTCTTGATTATGTGGGTGAATGAAACTGCAACCTTAGACATACTCACAGTTGCTGCTACATGTCCAATTGTATGTGCCACAGCAACCTAGAAACAAACAAAGAAAAAAACAAAAAAACACAGTAAATTTTGTAATTCATAGTCTCTGATTCAGGTTGTGAAACCAAGATAGAAAAAAAAATTAAGGGATTGAACTTCGAAGATCTGAACTTTAATTTTGCAAAATCAAAAACATACATCAAATTCTAATTTCGTTTTGTTTTTTTAATCAATATTTTCTTCTTTAAATTTATGATAAGACAGATAATACCAAATTTTAGTTTCCTTTTCATTTCCTTCATTTTCTCTGCAATCAGACAAACTAAAACAAAGACCATATGTTCTTTTTAACATTTTCTTACCATCCAAATAAAAAACACACGATCCTATAAAAAATGTTAAGAAAATCAAAGAACGAATTTCTAGTTTCTATCGTTTTCTCTCACTTTCCCTCACTTTCTCACCGACCAAACACAGAAAGGGAGAAAAATACTCACCGGAAACAAAGTCTTCCAAAACTCAAAATCTGTTTTTGGGGCTTCAGCAATCCTTGTAGCCCATGAAACCAACATCATCAGAGAACCACAGGCAAGGGACAAAGTTGAAGTCAACCAAGGGTAAGGGTAAGCATTCAAAACCTTCTTGTTATAGATGTTGAAAACAACATTCAAAGCCCACCAAGTTGCAAAATAAATCCCAATTTTCACCCTTTTCGCGGTTTCGGCTTTCACTTCCGCAGCTGCCTCGATAGGCTGCGACTTGTCAGCTTCATAAGCCTTGCATGGGATCACTGACCTCTTCTCCTTACCGATAATCTCAATAGATGAGATATGCAACGGCTTCGACACCGAAAGATGAGTTCTTTGGAGAACCAATACTGGTGAAAACGAAGATCTGTACATCGTTGACTGTGATCTTCTGTTAACAAGAGAATTTGAAAGATCCATGCATGTAGCTAAAGCTGATTGCTTCATGCTGAAACTCATATTTTTCCAAGCGGTGGATCAAGACGAATCCTTTAAGAGGAAATCGAAACTGGCTGTTTGTTCAAAAGTCGACCAACTTACTACTTTAGTGAAAATTGAACGGCTTTTCTTTTCTCTGAGACGAAATAATAAAGAAAGTGAAAGGAATACTTTCCTCGTGAATATTCTATAAAGATTTTTTTGGAGGCTAAAGAGAAGTAGAAGCTATGTAGATTGTAGAGTGCTGAAATCTCAGACCAAGCCAAACTCCTTGATTTATTTCATGTGAAATCCATATCTCTTATTATTTGTTTATTAAATTGGTTCGATTCACCGGGGAAAGTTAGATTCTGTGAGAGGTAATCTTTTAATCAATAATTATGTACTCAATCATTTATACACTATAAAATTCTAAATTAATCAGACATTAGTTTAATTATAAATAATTAAATATTTTATTTTATAATAATAAATTTATATAAATTAGTCCATATATTATATAATTTTTAAATATTTTTAATTTTTTTATTTTTAAATTAAATATTTACACTCTACAAACATTATTATTTAAATTTACATCTTTCTTAAAAATTAACATTCTATGTTGCCATTAATACCGCTCGATAAATTAATATTATAGTTTAACTATTTGATGAGTCTATTTTACGCTGGTTCGAGTGTCGAAAGGTTGATAATTGATGTTAGATCTAATAACTCTGATTGCTTCAAATGTGTCGACTGCCTACCCTCAGGAACTTGGTTTTTCTCAAAATGTGTTGATTCCTTTCTTAAAAATTAAAAAGAAAGTTCAATTGCATAAAAATAATTTGATTCATAAATTTAAAAGATATTTTAATCATACATTTAAGGAAGTGTTTTTGTTCTCCGCCTAGGATCATAGGTCTTTGTTTCGACAGGATCCTCCTGCAAAGACAGGCTCAAGAGCTTGCGTCCATTGCTAAAGAACAATTTGCATGTATGCTTACCTTGTTGTAAAACGTTTAGAACAGAATGAATAAGTGGATTCATGAGGACGACATAGCGTAGTACACGACAACGCACGGTTATTGTTAGGCTGTTGGCTGACCTAAAAGATGCGTGTAGTTTAGGAATCCAAAGAGCAGATATTAACAAGGTGGTTTGGCAGAGGTGGTTGCATGGAGTCGTTAAAATCAATGTGGATGGAGCTTGACACAAGAGTTTCTACTGCTGGTGTAGTTGCAAGGAATCATTATGGATTAGTTATAGGTGACTATGCACGTCGTTTGGAAGCTTTCCAATCAGCAAACCTAGTTGAAGCGCGAGCTTTCTTTGAAGGAATAACCCTCGTGGTTGAGAATGGCTGGGATGAGGTGATCATAGATGGCGATTCAATGGCTAATAACGGATTCATAAATATTTTTTACGGTGGTCACATATATGTTAACAACACAAAATTAAAAAAAATATTGTGATTACAAATAAAATTTCAGGATAGGTACTATCAATAAAATATATAACTAATTGGAAAAAAAATTAAGTTTCAGGATGAGTACACCATCAATAAAATAGATAATTAACAAAAAAAAATCATATTTCAGGGTAGACACACCCTCAATCGCCAATGGATCTACCACTGAGCTTGCCATTGTGGTGCTACAACGTTGATTCTAGTTCAATATGAGTCATCTCTTTTAGAAGTCTCTACACGTCTATACTATCTACCTCGATCATTATCTTCCTTACTTCGAACTCTTATGTGCCTTTTAGTCCTTCAAACACCTCCAACAACTCAGCCTCCAGAACCGAACATGCACCAATTGACTTGTGAAAACCCAACTTCTATTGTTCACTCCCATCTCTTATATCCCTCCTCTAAATGCAATTCCGTTCGACCTATCACTCGCATAATTTGTATTCAATTTTAGTCAGTGGTGAATCCATAAATATTTTTTAGGGTAGACACATATATATTGATAATATAAATTTTTTCGTATGTGATAAATACAAAAAAAAATTAACATAGACACTCTCAGTAAAATTAACAACTAATATAAAGAAATTCAGATTTTAAACTTAAAATATACATACATCCGCCACTGTGGATGGCTGTTGTCAACATGCTTACCAATCAGACGACGGGCCTATCGGTCGTTGCTACTCACCTGGCTGAGGCTCGAAGACTGGTAACTGAGAACCCGAGGTTTAGAGTCGTTTATGTACGCCGAGACGCCAACAGTGCAGTACTTTCTTTAGCCTAGTAGGCTTTTAATTGTTCTCCTACATAACTTATGTCGGATTTTTTTGAGTTGTATTGGAAACGTTATTATTTCAGATGTAATAAATAATTAATCTTGTCTATTTTTCAAGAATACATATTTTTTTTTTAAATTTTATTTATTTTATTGTAACATCATAATTCGAATCTCATACTGCATCACTCCACTAACCAATTTATTGTTGGTACTAAAACCAATGCTATTTAACTAAAACTAAAAATATATTCTGTACAAAGTTTTATCGAAGGCAAAGCATTCCTCAGGTCAGGTAATGGGACTTTTTTGAAGTGTGAAATCTCAGCTTCGGTTTCTTCAGGTAATGGGCTGCGTTCAAGTCCAGCTTTGGCTGCCTAATAAAGAACACCAGTTTCGCCCATTTGATTTGATCTCTCTCTCTCTCAAACCTCTTCTATGGCATCGTTTGTAAAACCCCCGTATCTACTCTGAGCCTTAAAAACCCTTCCAAAACCCCTCCATTTCGAAATGTCTCCCTTTAAAACTTTACTCTTTTCTAGCCAAGCGAAAGTTCTCTTCAAAACCCACAACTCTCTTTACAAGCACTTCCGTCCTTCATCGTCCTTCATAATCAGAACCCTTAATTCATCTCCCCATGAACCAGCCAAGAAGCCACTCTCTCTGTTGTTTGAAGAAGCCGTTGGATTAACTGAAAAGACTGGGGGAAACGAAGGGCAGGGCCAAGACGAAGAGAATGAGCTAATGAGCAAATTAAGGGAATTGGAGAGGGAAGTTCGGGAGTTCAAAGAAAACCCAAAGCCCAAAGTGAAAAAGGAACACACGGAGGGAGTAGAGAGGGGAAAACCCAAGAAAGTTAACAGTGTGACTGGGTTGTTTGGGGGAGAAAAAGTGGAAAAGATGGCGAAACTGAGGAGAAAATCTGGGGAGGTCACAGTTTTGAAGGATCTTTCGGTGTTCGTTAAGTTTTTCGTTAGGCATTTGTATTCAAAAGGGTATTTTGACAAAGCTAATTTCTTGGTGGACAACAAGTTGAATTTTGGTTGCTTTGATAATAGTTATGGCAGAGATTTCATCAAGTTTGCTGCTAATAAGTTTGGTAAAGATAATGAAGAGATTGCAAAGTAAGTACATGTTCTTTTCCCTTTTGTCCTTTTTCATTTTGGATTTGACATTGTTCGCTAATGTGTTATATATGTCGGCTGATTGATGTTATTCATGTTATGTTTACTTCATCTCCACATGCTTTGGGGGAATCTTTATTGAATGACATAATCTTAAACATTGTATTTTTCAGGTTGTTGTCAGGCAATCACTTGAAGAAAGTGGCGGTTTTTGGTTGCCCTTCCCTTGATAAAATAACGTCTTTGCTGCTAAGAGGTTGCGCAAAATCTTTAGAATTCAAGAAGACACTGTAAGCCATTATTTCAGTACTTCAAAGGAGTAAATTTTTTATTATATATATAGTATAAATATTTTGACGTCTGTGATCTCTACAGGTTTGCAATCGATGCATGTTAAAGGATTCATGCAGGTTTGCTAATAAGGGTGTGTCTGGAATTGCTGCGGAGAGCTTGCTTCTAGTCGATGTAATGAAGGTTATAATTTTGTATGCTTTAGAGCAAGAGCATCCGAAGCTCACAGTTCCGGACGAAGTACGTGATTCAGCCAACAAATTGCTGGAGGAGGTTATAAAGCTAAGCCAAAACACATGACAGGGTTTGTAAAATGTTTCTACAGGTACTTGGGGTAAACTAAGCTGTAGCTTCTTCACTATCATTTTGGCTGTTTACATCGATTTGTTTTGAATCATGTGGTACAGATTATGGATATGATTGCGATTTGTGAGGAATGTCGATAAAGTTTTGTTGGTGGCATAGATGATCTCATCAGTAGACAAGCCGACCTCACTGTAAGCAGCAAACAGACCCTGAATCAAATTTGTATTGCTGATACATACATATGATTCAATATGAAATACAAATAGTGAAGCAACTGGGAACGTGTTGTATCCAAGTGACCAGTTAGAAGCATAGGTTTTTTCATTGACTGAACTTGTTTATATTTTGTAGTTTGTGGGATTCTCTTATGGAGTTTAATGAAGGTAGTGGAGTTGTTGAACTGTTTACTTCATTATAAATAAACTCAAAATGTTGGGTCATAATATCCATGGATTAATATATTTGCCTATGGTACTTGAACTCTTTAGTTTTCTTGAAGAATTTGTGTTTGATACTTTCGAATATTTGTATATACACACACACACACACACTCAAGCTTCCAAATATATGAAAAAAGTTATCCATATATTAGAACACTCGCATTTGATAGATACTCGTATCCAATACTCAAAATTTGCAGAAGAAAAATGAAAAGATGATAATCGGGGTATGAACATAGCATTTCAACCATCTGCATTCTGCAATTCTATTCTCAATTTTCTCTTTTCGATAGATCAAGACTTTATAATTTAGTTAAATATCCATTTGCAGAAATTATGTTTTATTGATTCAATTATTACATTACCTCCACTGCACTGCAACAACCAGCAGGAAACATGGTGGAACCAAATGAAGGCACAACTAAGCCTAAAAACCATGCATGGATGCTTCGATAATTAGTAAATACAGAAGAGGATTTGCATCCGGAGCTTAGTTCAGTTGAGAGGTGACATCTAATATATTTAAACCTAAATCCCCTGCTGCAGGCTGCTTTGTAATTAAAAAGCGAAGAGTTTCTTTAACACAGTATAGCTAACAAATTATTTGGTATTATTAGACTAAATTTGAAGCAATGTAAGGGAGATGGTTTTACCTGTGGATGTTGGACTGTTGAACAGCAAGAAATTCCAACTTTCATTTCAATCTATTATCCTTCAGCTATTTATGATTCTTTTGAATTTTGAGATGATCATAAGCCTTTTCTCCACCAACCATTCCTCTTTGTCTCGAAACATGACATTTCCAACACAAACTCCAACTGCCGCACCAAGAATGTATCCCACCACAACAATAACCCATACCCAATCCACATTTCTCAGCATCATGGAATGGTGTTTTCCATTTACATCAGAACTTATGGGATCTGTTTCATGATGATAGTCACAAGGGGGCAATGGTATCCCACATAGTCCTAGGTTGTTCTCATATCTAGAAGCCGGAAACGTTGTAAGTTGTCCGGTTGAAGGAATAGGACCGATGAGGTTATTGTTGGAGACATCGAGATCTGTAAGAAATGTGATAATCCCCAAGGATCCTGGAAGCCTGCCTTGAAGATAATTGTAAGATAGGTTAAGCAAACAAACTTCTTTTAAACCCTCAAAGGTATCAGGAATATTTCCAGTTAATCTGTTGTGTGACAATTCCAAAACATGCAGATTGGACATGGAACCAATGTTGTCTGGAATAGTACCAGAAAGATGATTGAAAGAAAGATCCATAAAGAGGATGGTTCCGGTACTTGTTTTTATCATGTGATTTGGCCAATTATATATTGTTATCAAAGAACAAGAATTGGACTCAAAGCTTTCCTGCAACTTTGCTTCACTGATTCCTTCAGAGTAAATTAAACTATTTCTCATCCTGCAATCACTTCTTCCTTTATCTCTCAAGAACATATATCCACCTTTAGAACTCAAACTAAAAATGGGATCAAAGCGTTTTTGGGCTGCGAGATTCGGTGGAATTTGACCTGTAAACTGATTGCTACCCAAATCAAGCCATATGAGGTTTTTGAAACTACCAAAATCAATTGTGTGAACGTTCCCAGAAAATGAGTTATAACTTAACTGTAAAATGCTCAGTTTTGTAGGTTGTGAAGACCAGCAGGGATAGTTCCAGTGAGTTGATTAAATGAAAGTGACAACCACGAAAGATTTGCACAATTAATGATTGATGCAGGAATGTTCCCAGTGAAGCCATTGTTGTTGAGAGCAAGCTTCTCCAAGGTTTGAGTTCCCGAGCATATGTCCTTTGGGATTTCACCAGATAAGTTATTCCCCCACATAACGAAGTCATGAACATTTGATAGCTTCCAAACTTCCGATGGGATCTGTCCGCTTAAATGGTTCCGAGCAAAGTTAATCTTCTCCATTCTCTTACAGTTCCCAATGTCTGCTGGTATTGTTCCTGACAGAAAATTGTCTGCAAGGAGTAATCTTCGTAGAGAGGAATTGGAGCATAGCCCTGAGGGTATGTTGCCATCGAAGCCATTAGAACTAAGATCAAGAACTTGAAGCTTAGTATGGTTTATGAGAGACACCGGAATGAAACCACTAATGTTGTTGAATGGAACTTGGAGGATTTGCAAACTAGGAAGATAACTAATGACTGTAGTGAGGAAATTTCCTGAAAGCTGATTGCTTCCAAGGTTGAGCCTTTGCAAGCCATTGCATGACTTGAATGTCTCGGGGAAACCACCCGAAAGTTCGTTTCCGGAGAGGTCAAGCTCTATTAGAGTCCCACACATAGAACCCATTTCCTGTGGGATATTGCCGGAAAAGGTGTTCTGACCTAAATTCAAATGCTTCAAATTCCTCAAATTCCCCAAAAAAGCTGCAATTTTACCCTCCAGCTTGTTAAAGGAGACATCAAGGGTCTCAAGAAGCTGACAGTTAATCAAGCTTCGAGGAATTCCAGTACCGTAAAGAGAATTATTAGACAAGTTAAGGGCCACAAGATTAGCACAGTTCTTGAATTCAAGCATTGGGAAATCAGCAAACAAGTTGTTGTGGGAAAGGTCCAATGATTTAAGGGACTTGAAGAAATCAGAAACAACAACAGCATGGATATCTCCAGGGATCAAGTTATGTGAAAGGTTTAAAGAAACCAAATGGAAACAAGAACCAAAAAATGTTTCAGAAATCGGCTCCGATAAATTATTGAATGACAAATCAAGTGTCTCAATAATGCAGGAAGGATGAGATGCCTTGTTGAGGAAGAAATTACCAGAGAATAAATTTCCACTCAAGTGGAGATGTTTGAGACTATCCAGGACCATGAGATCATCCATATGCAGACAACCCGTTAGACCAGCGCCGGTGAAGTTAAGCATATTAACTTTTCCATGCAAAGAACACGAGACACCTCGCCACGAACATGGAGTTAAAGATTCTAATCTCCAATCATTGAGGAAACCTTGGGGATCAGCAGCAACAGATTTTTGCTTGAAACCCAACAATGCCATCACTTCATTGCTGGGATTCTGCTGCTGCAAAGATAGGGTAAAGTTATTGCTTAGGGAAATGAAAATGAAGAAGAGATACATGCATTGGTTCTGGAAAACCCAGAAATTCCCCATTTTCATATTGGAAGTATTTGGATGAACATCAACAAGGTACTGATTGCTTATTTATAGCTACAAAAGTTATGATTTCAGTGTTACAAGGAATTTCTCATCTTGAAATGTGTCTACTTTCATATGACTCACTGTAACATCAAAGTATTATCTAAGAACAAGTTGAAAAATCATTGGAAAAAGGAACAAAAATTGTTGAAAAAAATCTTCTTGATTAGTCAAATATTGCGTCTGTGGAGAAGAAGCTTAAACCAGTAAAGTAATTCAAGTCAATGGATCCATTAGTATAACTTCTGATAAAGGTTAATATGTCCCGAAAATCCTGTCTGTTCCGTGGTATTGTCTTGGTCAAATCAACTTGTGCATAACGTCATTGACAAAATCAAAGGAATAACATTTTCATTCAATTCAATGCCTTCTAATTTCAGTTGTTGACGATGATCAAATTTCCTCCAAATGACAAAAAGAAGAAGAAAGTGCGTCCACAAAAACTTTATCCTCTTCCTCTTGACTTGTGTTCCAAGTACCACCACATCTTGGTTTCCAAGTCAAAGTGATAATGGCACTATTTGACTATAGGAACTGAAGTTAGATTTGAGTCATGGTTTAGGAATTGACCTCGCTTGTATAGACGGTGTATGTCGTTACACCGTTCAATAAGGCGGTGTCACCTCCACTAAGGGCGTTTTTTCTACGGAAGCATTCCATTTCTAAATTGACAAAACTAATACACGGGTTTTAATGCAGTGTTCGGTTGCTCTATCGATAGCGGCAAAGTTTTTTTTTCCATAACACTGAGATTTCAGGAGGAAAAGAATGGGAAACGCAACTCCCAATCAATCTTCCGTTGTTGCTTGGACTCTTAACCCGGGCACCGTCATAGCGCGCTCGTGTTCGACACAAATTTTGTTGAGAAGTCATGTATTATTGTTGAAAGCCTTATTTTGCAGGAAGAAACAACTAAAGCTTCTCCTATGGAGAAAGCTACAGCGGCGAGAGGAATACTGCAGCAAATTGAAGAGGTGACGTGGAAGCGCCCAGAGAGATGATGGGTGAAAATCAACACGGATGGCGCTGTCTCCCATGGGCGATTAGACGGTGCTATAGGAGGGGTATTCCGTAATGAAGAAGGTCAATGGCTCTTTTGGTTTTTCAATGAGTATCGCCACCTGCTCGGTCTTAATGTCGGAACTGTGGGCTTTTCACGACGCTCTCCAACATGCCAAAAGCCTGGGTCTTCGGAAGATAGAAATTGAAATGGACAACGGGGAAGCTATCCGGGTGGTGCAAGGAAGGTCGGACATTCTAAGAGATTATGCGCTTGTGGACTCGATCCACTGTTCAATTCATAATAATTAGCTATTTAAAGTAATGAAATTGAATATTTGACTAAAAAATATTCAAATTTTGAACAGAATCAAATTGTTGCCCTAGAGTAGAGAATTCTAATGCCCATTAATGTAGGACGAGTCCATACCTTAAAATATTTAAGGATTATTTCCATAATTAGAGGGCATTACTGCTCTTTAATGTATGATGGATTATCATACCATTTGCCATTTCTGAATGTTTTTAATCACTATAAATATATTAGAACTTACAATATCATTACAAAATCAAGAATTTAACTATTTCAAGTAATCAAATTTAATCTTTGACCAAAAAACATTCAAATTTTGAAAAGAATCAAATTGTTGCCTTGAATCAGAGGATCTCAATACTCATTAATATCTTGAGATATTTTTCCAGAATAAGAGGGTCTTAATTCTCTTTAATGCATGATGGATTATCGTACTAATTGTTATTTGAGTGTTCTTTTCGTCACTATAAATACATTAAAACTAACAATACCATTGCATTGCAGGCTTAATTTTTCACTAGAGAAATGACTTTATCCCTTAATTTTCTCACTTCTAAAGTGTTGTTTTTCTTTTGTGTGATATCATTATTTCAACCCCATTTCTCATTTTCTACTTCAAATCCCATTGGTCTGACCTTAAGGGTTGATGTGGATGATTCTCCAAGCTCTCCTCTGTACGGTATTCAAAATCTGACTGTAGAAGAAAGAACAGAGAGATGGATCCACGTTTCAAATGCTAGAGCCAATTATTTGAATCTAATTTCGAGTTCGGATACATCGAAACTTCCCGATAATATTCGAATACCATTATTACGAGAGAATTTATGGTATGCCGCAGAGTTTACAATAGGAAGCCAAGGGCACCGAGTGAAGTTGCTGATGGACACCGGAGGTGGCTTAATATGGACGCAATGCCAGCCTTGCCAGAATTGTTTCCCCCAAAGGCTTCCGGTTTATGATCCTCGACTTTCTAACACTTATGCTACACTCCCTTGTGAACATCGTCTCTGCAAGACCCCGGGTAAAGACCTCGCTTGTATCGACGGTGTATGTCGCTACACCGTTAACTATGGCGGTGGCACCTCCACTAAGGGCGTTTTATCAACAGAATCATTCCACTTCTTGATTGACAAAACTAATAACGGGATTTTAATGCCGTGTTTGGTTGCTCTAACGATAGCAGCCAAGTATTTTTCCAGAACACTGAGATTTCAGGTGTATTTGGAGTAAGCATCTCTCCGGATTCGATGGCGAGACAGTTTTCGACCGAAACTCATTCTCGATTCTCCTACTGTTTTGCACCTATTACCGGCGCATTACCCCCTCCGCTTGTTCTAAGGTTCGGAGAAGACGTTCCAAAGTTCCCTCCAGGACACCTTCAATCAACATTGATCGTGCAACCACCGACACAAAACAAATATTTTTACTACTTACAATTGTTGGATATAAGTGTGGCCAATTATCGTATCGGATTTCCTCCGTCTACTTTTCAGTTCAGGGCAGGCGGTGCCGGTGGTATTTTAATAGACTCCGGAGCTTTGTTCACTTTCATCGACGCCGGGACAATCGGAGTGAATGCATACGAGAGAGTAATGCAAGTGTTTAATGCTTATTATGGGTCGAAACAGCTTCAAAGACGACCCAAAGAGCAAGGAGGATTCGATTTGTGTTATGACCAACCAAGTTTTTATAATGATTTTGCATCTTTAACGTTCCATTTCAATGGAGCCGATTACAACGTTAATGGAAGATACGTTAATGTGTTCAGGCGAGGGTATTTCTGCGTGGGAGTACTAAGGGGAGTCTCCTCATCTATACTTGGAGCATGGCATCAACAAAATAAACGTATTATCCATGATGAATTGTTTGGTGAACTTCAGTTTGCTGATGAGATTTGTGCCAATGATGTTGCCTGATTCTTTGACTATGTTTTTACCTTTTATATATAAATAAATGTAAAGTGGATATTTCTTAAACGAATGCTATTTCTTTCTTATCATAATCGTAATCAGTTTATTATCTATCGTGTTAATGAAAATTTTTATTTTATGTTTTAATTTACAATAAAGTTAATTTCATTAAAGAAATACAATGAAATTACTGTATTAAAAAAATTAAAGTCAAGAAAAACTAAACTACCAATTCATCCAAGAGTATAAAATTAGCCTCTAGGACAATAAAAAAAATCAAGAAATTAATCAAATAATTTAATGATATAAAAGATACAAACAAATATCCGGAGACTATCTAAGCTTGGGCTTTATCTTCCCGTGAAGGGAAGAGATATCTCCATCTGTGTGAAAGAATAGATGTTCGAACTGCATCTTTAGTGGGAAGGAAGGACATGATGTGACAAAGAATAGAATCGGGCAAAGTACTGATCCTATCTAAGTCACCCACAGATTTCACTTGCTTGGCCATGGACCATGAACTAAGAAAAAGGCAATTCCAAGAACTAATTTAATCTGTTCCACCAATACAAGTCTTTCAGAATTACCCTATGTTTCAGTTTCTAAATCCACTAATATACCTGAAACCTTACCTTTCTTCAGGCAACAGCGGTTTATGTTCTTACCTGCCCATTTCTTCTAGTGTTTTGCTGCCTTACTACCAGACGCCACAGGCGTCGCCTCAGCACTCAGCAGTCAGACGAGCCATCTCCCTCCCTATAAGCGTCAAGCCCTCTCTTACCTCACTATTCGGGTCTAATTCTTTTGTTCAAATCAGTGGATTTTTGGCCCAAAACAATTTGGGTTTTAATTTGGTTACAAGCACTCGGGATAGAATTAAGCTCATTAGGCCCCCAAGAATTAGAGTCGATAACGTCAAGAATCAAGGTTTCAAACGACAGAGTTTCATTTAGATGAAAAATATTGAGCGATTTGTTATTTTTAGATGTCTATTCTATTAATTATGTTTGTAAAATATATGAATGTTTATTGTCAATTGACTAGATAAAATTTTAAGTACATTTTACTTATAATTATTATATATTAAAAATATTAAAATAATCAGATAAAATTTTTGACCCACCTTTGCCCCCCCCATTGTATAACGTGGCAGATTTATGACATTTCTCGCTTTATCTGCACTGTAAAATCTACTTTCACACACAGGAGATCTTGACCCATTTGATTAATAAGAAAACTCCATTTGATTAATAAGAAAACTTTCGGACAAAAAAGAAATGAAATAAAGAATACACACACGAGAGAGTTATGTAGTTAAAATGCCTCCCGCCTCAGCTCATCTCTACGTTTCGTTGCCAGATTTCTTCTTGGGATTTAAATTCCCATTTTTATGCTTTATTTTTCATAATTTTTTTTCTCTTAAAAAAATCTGATTTTGATTTATTAATATCAGCTGCCATGATTTCTTCGAGCAAGATCAAATCCGTCGATTTCTACAGGTTCATATCTCTTATTTCTCTTTTCATTCATCGCCCTTTTTTTGTTTTCATGATTTTCTGATGATTGGCACAAAAGACTGGATCGAAACAGTTTACAGAAAAGAGCTAAACTAATCTTTATTTACTACTTTGGTGAATGAGCTGAATTTTTTGTTCTTTGATTTTTTTTTTTTCATTTTTCTATTGAGTTTTAAGCACATGTATACATTTTACGGGTCTAAGTCCATCTGCTGATATACTTTGTTTAAGTAAATGTGATAATGATAGAGTTCCTTTCTTTTCTTTTATTTCTGTACAGGAAAATCCCTAGAGATTTGACAGAGGCATCGTTATCCGTTATAGCAGCAATTGCTATGATATTTTTATTTGGAATGGTTGACAGCCTTTTTATTTACTCCAACTTCAATTCCATCTGTTTTGACGCACTTGGCTTTTAGTTTTGATTTTTCATCCCAAAACGACATTTATGATTCAACATTCTTTTATCGTACTAGTTGCTGTCATTTCCTTTTCTTTGCTCTGATTATGGTTTTCAGATATATTCGTAGTTTATTAGTTCAACTTTTGCCTTTAAATGAAAACAATTCCTCTGTTTTCTTCACCTACACCCATTGTAATCCATTGAATACCTTTTGCAGGAACTGAATGATTATTTAACACTCAGTACCACTAAATCTATTGCTGTTGACAATAGTTATGATGGAGACTTTTACGCATTGATTTCAACATCAGGTGCGTTACTTTTCTGTGGCATTGTTATCGTTCAGTGTTCTCATTTGGTTGCATTACCAGCAAATGAATAATAAGATAACTTTAGACTCCCCCCATGCAATAAATCCCCAACCTCTGTTGCAATATTATCGCTTTACTAGCAAATGAACAATAAGATCACATTGCATTGTGGTTCTTAGGTTGCTTTTGCTGCTTTTGAGCTTTCTGTACATTTTTTCCCAGAAAAATGTTGGGTCCAAATTGCTACTTGTTAGTCTAGATTTATTTGGACATATTTCTCTGGATTTTCTTCAAAACTATCATAGGTTTAATATGCTTGTGTCTTTTCAAATCTGTAATATCCTTGAATGCTGTTCGAGATTTATCTTTGGCTGAGTTTCATGCTGGACCTGTTCCTCATTACATTTAGCATGGTGATGAAGTTGATGAAGAAACTGTTGAGGGTGCCCTACCTTTAAATGGTATTAACTTTGAGAAATTATCACATCAGTTAGTGGATTAACTCAAAGTTTCAAGCCATTTAATTTTGTGTATTATGTACCCATCAGGGAGCTTTCTTTGCTAAATTTCAATTTTGGTGATACCTCTCATTTACTTGATTTGATTTCTTTTCCAGGTATCCAATTTTTGTTGTTAATTTTTATGCTCCTTGGTGCTATTGGAGTACTCGCCTGGTAATCTACTATTAGCATGCACAATCTTTGTCTTGTAGATACTTGCTGAAAGCATTATTTGTTTAGCTCTTCAGCTGTGTAAAGCAGTCCTCATGCATAACTTATTATACTGATATAGTTTCCAAATCTTCTATTTTAGTAATCCCTTTTGTGACTTTATGTTCTTCATTTATATTTACTAACCCTCTCGTCTTTTTCTTGTTTTAAGGATAAGTGAGCGTTTTAAAAACATCTAACATGCTGTATAATATGATATTTTCTTTAAAAGGGCCTTACTTTGTGAGGCCCTGTGTCTACCACTAAACAAACACATATTTGTCTCCATGTTCTAAAAAAAATAGCATTTTGAATGAATTAAACCCTTGCTTCTGATGAATATGAACTCTTAGGTCAAACTGAAGGTAATGACATGCTTTGAGCTGTAATGAGTTATGACCAAGTACAATTGCTCTTTTCTACCACTGAGTACTTGGAGTGGCTTCTTCACTTATAGAGTTATAGTAGCCTCACCATGTTCTTTTTGGGTTTCAGAAACCGTCATGGGAGAAAACTGCCAAGATAATGAAAGAGAGGTTTGAGAATACATCATTTCTCTTCCATGGAACAAATTTATAATTATTTTCGTGATTTGGCAATGAATTTTGCATCCTTGCTTTTTACAGATATGATCCAGAAACTGATGGGCGTATTCTTTTGGCAGAGGTTGATTGCACTGAAGAAGTTGATTTGTGTGGGAGGTAATTCCTTATTTGATGTTTGATCACATGTAAATTAATGCTTTCTTGTTTGAGAATGAGTATATGTCATTACATGACCAGTAACAGTATTGTTGCATTCTGATCTCTTTTTTTCTTTTGAAAAGTACATTCTGATCTCTTAACCATGTTGTTGTGTCTGATCTCTTTGACGTTGCAGATACATATTAGCATTTATCACTTCACATATTTAAGATATGCTTTCTTGCTTATTGTATAGAATTACTTCCCAAATGTTGCATCCTTTTATAGCGTTACCACATATTTAATCTTTTCTCTTTCTCTCTTTCTTCCTTCCCTGGTTTCTTAACTTACTTGTTCCCTTTTCTTCTCAACACAGTCATCACATTCAAGGGTATCCACCCATTTGTATTTTTCGTAAAGGCAGCGATGTGAGGTAAAAGAAAGTATAATCTAACATATTTTCTACCCATAATATCAATGGCTTGATGTCCCTTCTAAACTTTTCCTCATTCTTCTTCACTCTGCCCTTTCTTTATGTTGCTTGTTATTCACAATATCATATTATTCCAATATGTTAAGCTTCCACTTTCCTTTGACCCCTATTACTTTCTTTTAGGCTATTTAGTACTGTTGAACTTTATGATCCGTGCAATACAAATTCACCTTGTTCTCTGACCTGTATGTGTTTCGGGGAGTCCCATGGAGACCATGAACATGAATCTTACTATTGAGATCGTGATACAGAAACCCTGGTTAAGTTATGAATAAATTAGTTTTGAATTGGCCATTTGAGTTTATCAGTTATAGAAATCTTATAAGATAAAGGTATGTACATGACCTAATGCAGTTGTCTGTTTCTTCCAGACAATGAAGGATTTGGTTGCTTCTCCTAAAGTTGACTGTTGTGTGTGGAGAGGGAATGGTGAAGGAGTCTATTCGGTAAAATCGGGCATTAAAGTAGTGTCAAGCTCATCGGTTCCAAATTCGCTTTGGTCGGAGTTTGTCTGGGCTGGTTTGGCTCCTCCTAAAGTTGAAATTTTTCTATGGCAGATTTTTCACCAGAAGATGGCAGTTAAGTCTGCCTTAATTAGGTGGGGTTTTAGCGGAATCGATGATCCTCTTTGCCCGTTTTGTGGTTCGGATGTCGAATCGGTTAGTCATTTATTTTTATCTGGCAGATTTGTTTGGGGGGTGTGGATGAGATTCCTGAGGATGTGGAACGTTTGTTCAGCTTTGCCCAATTGTCCTAATGATTTCATTTTCGTGTGGGCTGATTTAGTTCCGAATTCTGAGATTTGGAAATTTATTCCAGGAGCAGTTATGTAGTCTGGTTGGTTATGTAGGAATAAATTGGTTTTTGAAAATGGAAGGTTGGATCTAACCTATCTTTGTTTTCTGGTTAGATATAGGGTGGTTGTTTGGTTTTTGGCGAAGAAGTCTGGTTTTCCAGTTGCTCTTGATCTTCTGGTAGGTGACCTTACGCTGGCAGATGTGCACAAGGGCAAGTTGAAGAAATTTTCAGCATTCACAGGTTGGTGTCCTCCCCCTTTAGGCTGGTTTAAAGTTAATGTGGATGGGGCAGTGGGCTGTGATTGGAGGTGCAGTGGTATCGGTGGGTTGCTTAGGGATACATAAGGCAAGAAGCTGGAGTATTTCTTGGTCGCGTCAGGACCTGGTCCGCCGGTTCCGGCAGAACTCAAAGCTATTCAAGGGGGGTTGAAATTGTTTTTAGCTTCGAAGTGGAAAGATAAGGGGCGTCTTATCTTGGAGTCTGATTCTCTGGTTGCTGTGAATTGGATTAAAATCCCAGAGTACTGCCCTGCTGTGTTTAGCAATCTGGTTAAAGAAGTAGAGAAGTGTGTGTTGGATTCAATTGCGTTGCTAAGGTTTGTGAAGTGAAGCAGTAATTGGGAAGCTGATGCTTTAGCTAAGGCAGGAATTGGGTAAAGGTTGCTGTGGTTGTATTCTGTTTTAGGAGTTTGTTTGGAGTATTAGTTTTCAATTCCTAGTTAAGGCGTAGGTATCTATGTAAGGTTGTAATCTAGGGTTTTTTCTTAGGATGTACTCTATGTTTCTATTAATAAAATTTGGGCACTCTTTTCCTCCTTCCAATGCCCGTTAAGATACCTTGTAGTTTAACGGTTATGAAGGGGGTTTTTAACGAGGCCTCTTCTTATAAAAAAGAAAAGAAAAGATTTGGTTGTTTCTATTCCACAGGAGAACCAGAAGCTGGCTTTAGAGGATAAATCCAATGTTACAAAAGACCAGCACCATTGACTGGAGGATGCAGAATTGAAGGTTACGTGCCGGTAAAGAAGGTGATAATTATGATATTAAATTAAACTGACCGCTGGACATATTTGGCATATGATTAGTTTGTCTAATCATTTATGTCTACCTTGAGATAAATGAGCAACTGAAAGTATAAGTTTGAGTTGCACTTTGCAGGTTACTGGAAACCTTATCATCTCCGCTCATTCAGGAGCCCATTCTTTTGATGCTTCTAAAATGAACATGTCTCATGTCATAAGCCATCTTTCTTTTGGTAAAACAGTTTCACCTCTGGTATTAAGTGGTGTCAAGCGATTAATACCATATCATGGTAGAAGCCATGGTAAGTTGTATGGTCGGTCATTCATCAATCACCACGACGTAGATGCAAATGTTACTGTAAGTTTGCTATTTCTTGTGAACCCTTTTTTTCAATTGCTTGTTTTACATTTCAAAGGTCATAACTGCTTCACCTTGATTGCATTTTCAGATAGAGCATTACCTTCAAGTAGTCAAAACAGAGGTCGTTACAAGAAAATCTTCTTGCGACCACAAAGTAATCGAACAATACGAGTACACAGCGCACAGCAGTCTGGCACAGAGTGTGTACATACCTGTTGCAAATTTCATTTCGAGTCATCTCCGATGCAGGTCAGTCTTCAAACTATATAGACTTACATCAACCTTCCATTATTGTTTTTCCATTTATTCAACCGGATTGTTCTTCCTTTTTCCTACTCAGGTTTTGATAACAGAAGATTCAAAATCCCATCCGAACAGCCTTTTCTTTTTTCGTATCAGAAATTACCTTCTGCCTTATCGGTAAAATCTTCTCTGTGAATTGCAGATTGCTGGGATTTTGGATTCAATTTTTTATAATACAAATAGGTTGATGAAAAAAACAGAACTAGGCAAACATTTTTGATAGACAGGATTCTGTAGAGTTCTAATTAGTGAAGATTTTTCGAGGGGAACACAAGTCTAAATGTAACCCTTTTACATATAGTAGGAAACTATTTTATTTGGATTTTTTGTAAAGTATTCGTGTTCTATATTGTATTCAAATATATGTCCGAGATGAGTACTGCTCATACCAAAAAAAAAAAGACTAAGATATTGGAATCCACACAATATAAAATCCATTATTTTTCTGTGTTTACAAACTAGCTCACTTTTATCAATCAATTATCGAGATAAACCCAGTTGAACCCGGAAAACAGGATTTTTGAGGAAAATCAAACAAAGAAATGCATCAAAAAAGGAAGGAATCCAATTCATGACTGAAATCTTACTTTCAGAATGCTAAAAGAAAGGTCGAAGCAACAAATATTGCTCCCATAGAACCAGTAACACTCGTGAATACCGCGGATGCTGCATTTGGTGGTTTAGATTCATCACTCGGTGCTAGTGTAGGGTTAGTTTCAGCCGTTTCGGTTGGTGGATGCAGCAGGAGACTCTGCGGAAGGTGTTTCGGTTGGCGGAGACACAGGAGGAGACTCCACGGAAGGTGTTTTGGTTGGCGGAGACGCAGGAGGAGACAACGTAGAAGGTGCCAGAGGTGGTATTATATCAATTGAACTAGAAGACGCAGGAGAAGGAGGGACCGTTCCATTTGTGGTCGAAGAACGGTTACTCCTGTCGGCTAAAACAACCACCACCAACTTCTCATTTTGCTCACAGTTATCTTTGTTTCCGCTGATGAAATAGTAAGGACCCGAATGACTCAACGAGAAAACAGTGTGACCATCGCTGTAGCTGGAGAGTGGTGATTCCACACTGCAGTTTTTGTAGGCCTCCTCGGTCACATGAAGCACTGAGTCATTGTTTGGTGTGTAGGTAAACACTGTGACATATCACACACAACAAATTAAAGATCGAAAAAAGAATTACAAATGTCAGGATTTAAAATCAAACCTGTTGAAAGAAGTTACCAAGCGAGTCTCCAATCTGAAACCTGTTTTTTTCTGCCCATTGATTGTAACTATCGGCATTGTGAAGGCTCCAATTCACTGAGAAATCTCTTGCATAACCCTTTGTCATCAGCACCATGAAACAAAACCCCAACCCTAATACATTGAAGGCTTTTCTTCGATAATCCGATACAAAAACCGAGTTGGCCATTGCAAAACGAGGAGGAAAAACAATGGGCTAATAGTTTTTGAGCCCCAAAACTGATCGAATCTGAACTTTAGGGTTAGCAACAATGGGTGCCAAGACATGGGTTTTTGTAGGCCAATTTGCATGGGAACTTTACAATCTGTGGCAGAGAAGCTTTTGTTTCTTTTCCATATTCTCTCCTTTTTTCCTTTGGATTTCTTGCCTTCTGGTGCAAAGCATATATCTTTCTCCATATTATAGATATAAGCTATAAGTATGTAAGATCCTTCATAAAATCATAATTTACTATAACACTCTTTTGAATCATATATATTACTTGCTTTATTGCGGGTTTATGCTTTGCTTCACCTCAAGCAAGAATATTTATTTATTTTTCCTTCGGGAAAAAATATTTACATATTGTATACGTTAATGGAATTTGCTTTCACATTACAGGATATGGTTTCCCAAGAACAATTGATCCTAGTAATTTGTGTGAAGAAAAATGTATTTAAGCTTTGGGTTTATATCGAGGTTCCTTCTTCCTCAAGTTATTCATGAATTTTCACCATATGAAGCATTAGAATCAGAGACAGAAACAACTAAAAAAGAAAAAGGGGGGGAAATGGTTTCTTTTGAGACGGAGACGGATAAAACTTCTCAAGAAGTTTGATTCTATCGGTTCGCACTTTAATATTATATATTTAATCCTTACAGCTGCATGATACATATAAAAGTAATATATTACAAAACAGAAAAGTAGGTCGGACTTCAAGCTGTTTAATTTTCAATTCCGATTTATTTTTCGAACCTAATATTTTCATCTAAATCTTCGATAAAACATGGAATCTCTTTGTTCTTCCTTTACAATCTTCTCATCCGCCCTTGTCAATGATCAGATTTCTCCGCCCTCCTATATGTCCAGGAACTTTGTTCAGTCCACCGGCAAATGCACTATTTGATTTCCCTGAAACAACAAATCAAATTTTTTAGTTATAATATGTTCATATCGTTTGATTGATGGATTTCGTTCAATATGTTTGGAGTTGTAAATCCTTACCAAAGTAAGTACACCACAAAGCGAAAAACAAAAGGAAAAAGCAAAAAAGAAGACCACCCAATGATCATATTCATCATCGTCAATGGAAACGATCTGTCATCATCAGCAAGAAACTAACGAGAGACAAGAAGACGGCAGCCGTGGATGAAACAGGAGAGCTTCGCATTGCGGGGTTCGGGAAACTACGGGGCAACGCACATTCGGCTCCATTGAAGATCACTTTGGAAGGGAAGCCGTCGCCTTTTTTAACGTCGAGTCCTTCGATGTTCTTCTTGGTGAATCCGATCACTGATTGTTGTTTCCCGGGAATCCTAGGCTTACTACTACTGGAACCATTTACCTCTCCAACCAAATATTCCGAACCTTTCAAACTCTGGATGAAAATGGTGTTCTTAGGGGACTTTAACTTGGTTGCATTTAAAGAATATACACTGTCGTAACCGGGAAAAGCCTTTTTGAATTGAAGAGCGACGAACCAATCTTTAAACGGAGCATCTCCCCAGTTAAACAGAGTTATCCGAGCCGTCCATCCGCCCTTATGATCCGAAATGATATGCCAGTTTATGCTAACCCCACAATTATCAGGACAAGGCAACCTTTTGGGGATTTCCTTGTGTTTCAATGATGCATAGGCTTTAATTTTCATAGTCCTGTTTTCGGCCGGAACCAAAAGAGCATCTGTCGGGAGCGCCATCGCCTTAGCATCGGGGTTGCATTTATCGGTATTAATATCATAGCATCCACATGCACAAGTACTGCACGGCACTGCCGCGTCGCTGTAATAAGCCGTGTACGAAACGCAACACTTTGCTTCCTTCTTCACTGGTTTCGTCATGTTGCAGACGACTTGCCAGCTTGCTACCGCGTATGTCTTGGCGTCGAGCCCCGTCGAATCGGGGAATTCGGTTGCGTCGACTCGAACTGGTTGGCCACATATGTATTCAGCACTGACCAAGGTGGTTATATTCCACCTTTGCGGTGGGTACAACACGGTTTTGGATACATCAGGTGGGATTTTGTAAACCCTTAAATGGAATATCGACCTTGCTTTGTTTTTATCCATCGCCGGTGACAAAAGTGAACCATTCCTGCAACAAAAAGGAACAAGGCCAACCTTTGAGTCATTGGCTCTATCGGTTGGCAAATCGGAGATGACCGGCTTTTTCTCGCAGTTCATCACTTGGGAGAAATCAAAGCCACTGAGGTATTGGCCCTGTAAGCCGAAAATGCACTCGGAATAATCAATTTTCCAAGTGTAGGCTCCTCTCATGCTATAGATGAACTCGCCCCTCATCCATTCCCAAGTTAAGTTCCAATTAGAAAGGCAACTTAAGGGATTGTCATTGTCGATGGTTACTTGAGCCTCGTAGCTTCCTTCATAAGATTTAAGAACATCATACACGAAGTTTACGTCCCCATATTGCCTTGCTGCGTACTTGTTGGTACTTTTCTTTTCTTGTATTTTGGGTCTTGTTTGCAACACGAGTACATATACGTAGCTGTAAAATCAAGCAAATACATAAATTGTTCCATGTATGTCCCATGCAATACCGTGCATGAAACAAAACCAAATTTCAAACAAGAGGGGAAAAAGGAAAAAGAAAACTTACGATATTTAGTAAGTTTAGGGCATTTCCAACCATCGTTAACCATCCTGATCGACTTCGGCAGAGGAATCGATTTCTCTTTCATTCCGAACATCGTGCCGGTCATATCGATCTGAACCGACATCTTCGTATAATCTGCAGCAGTATCAACCGATGTCTGAAGATCCGAGGTGGGGTACCCTGCTAAGGTTGCTCCCTTACTAACATTGGCCGGAAAATCCCCGGCGCCGTCGACGAGGACGGCATTGTTTGCCGACACCAATATCTCTCTATGTTGGAACCCAATAAATATCTTCCATCCTTTTACCTCTTCCAACCCTGTATTCACTATGGTGGCTGTGGATTTAAACGCCCATGATTGAGCCGAAGCGTTTTTCACGTGGGGTAATTCTTTAATCCTTTCGACGAACGCATAGGTCAAGAACACACCATTACAATTCGTTTGCGCTGGGGGCGGTGACGCTGGCTTCTCTTCATCATCGGAATAGTCGTCGTCGTAATCCGTAGCGCCATAACATACCTGAAGTCTTAAATGGATAAATAGAAACCCAAGATATATGAGTTTCATCCATGGCAATTTCATGCCTTTTTTTTCCTTTACCTTTTTCTTATAACGGGGTGGGGTTTTTTTCCTTCTTCTGAATTATGAGTGGAGGGGGAGGCAAACAGTAGGTGGGGGTGGGGGAATGCCACGCAGCGATTACGCAGCAAAGAGGAGAGGATTATGAGTGAAACCCCCTATGAAGTTAAGGGATTGAAAGGTTACACGGGAGAAGTGAAAGGGATATAAAGTGGAGCAAAATTCTGTTCCTCTAGTTTCTCTGCGGTTGCTTCGGACAAGGTGAAGTTTATGGTGTTTCAATTCGTGTCATGAAGTTTTTTAGTTTTCTTTTTGCTATTTTTAGTTTGTGGTTGATCAACTCTGTCGTTTATTGGATTTCAATTCATTAATTTTAAGTGCCTAAAATAAATAAATGAGTGGATAAACCATGGTTTTGATCTTAAACAGACTAATATGGTTTTATATTCGTTGTCTATCGAATTCTAACCAACATTGTGACTTGTTTTACTCAACTCCCTGAGAACGTACGTACTATATTGAATTTAAATTTAATGTGGATTATAATTAAAGTAATTTTTTTATTATTATATTAATTTGACATGGAATGGAATATAATAATATAAAATATTTTGGGTTTATATAATAATAATAAACCTAAAGTTTAAATACATTATTCTTCAGACAAATTAGCAGGATATAATTAATACAAAATTAAAACCCAAATTGTTTTGGGCCAAAAATCCACTGATTTGAACAAAAGAATTAGACCCGAATACCGAGATAAGAGAGGGCTTGACGCTTATAAGGAGGGAGATGGCTCGTCTGACTGCTGAGTGCTGAGGCGACGCATGTGGCGTCTGGTAGTAAGGCAGCAAAACACTAGAAGAAATGGGCAGGTAAGAACATAAACCGCTGTTGCCTGAAGAAAGGTAAGGTTTCAGGTATATTAGTGGATTTAGAAACTGAAATATAGGGTAATTCTGAAAGACTTGTATTGGTGGAACAGATTAAATTAGTTCTTGGAATTGCCTTTTTCTTAGTTCATGGTCCATGGCCAAGCAAGTGAAATCTGTGGGTGACTTAGATAGGATCAGTACTTTGCCCGATTCTATTCTTTGTCACATCATGTCCTTCCTTCCCACTAAAGATGCAGTTCGAACATCTATTCTTTCACACAGATGGAGATATCTCTTCCCTTCAATGTCTACCCTTGATTTTGATAGTTGCTTACGTGATTTGCCTCGCAGAAATCTTAACAGTTTCTGGAGCTTTGTTGATAGATTACTGTTTTTCCCGAATCAGGTGAGTTTAGAATGCTTTAGGCTGCATGATCCTACTTCACGGGAAGATGATTGTTTACGCCTTTATGGTTGTATATCTGCTGCACTGTGGCGTGGTGTTAAGGAAATCGTTACATATTCTACAAACTGTCCCGTATTCCCGACTCTTCTATTTACTAGCCAATCACTAGACATTGAAATTGAACATAGATGGTGAAATAAAGGTTCCAAGTAATGCCTGTTTACCAAATCTGAAGACACTACATCTTACAAAACTCGTATTTGTAGATGGTTCTTCAATTTTTAGGTTAATTTCCAGTTGCCATGTCCTTGAAGATTTGGCGCTTGATCTATGTGATTTTTATAACACAACTGTGCTTAGTATTCATAATGTTTCACTCAAGAGTCTGTCTTTAACTTTTCTAGAGATGGTAGTCGGAAGTGCAGGAGATTTCAATTATGTGGTTGAGATTAACACTCCGAGTCTCGTCTATTTACGGTGCTCTGAGCTAACAGCTGAAGGCTATACTTTTAGCAACATGTGTTCTCTAGAAAAAGCTTATATTTCCATCTATCCATTTAATGTGGGTGCAAGTGCAACATCCAGTGTGGGTCGTGTACGTGGTGCAACTCATCTTTTTCAAGCAATTTGCAACGTGCAAGATCTATCTTTGTTCATCAATAATGCCGAAACGGTTAGTGAACTTATATTTTAGTCATCGTCGTGAATACCGAAGTGTTTTCTTTTACCATCAATATAATAGTTCAAGTGTTGTTGTACAGCTTTTTGGAAGCTATATAGAACCGGGGCTTGCATTTCACAACCTTGTTGAACTGGAATTTTTTAATCCTGATGGAGATTGGAAGGGAGCGTGGATTGTGGAGTTTTTGTGTCATGTACCAAATCTTAAGAAGCTTACACTGGATCTGGTATGAAAGATTCTCGAAATACTGTCTCGTATTTAAATGTATGATACAAATTAATACAGCAGCCCTTCTTTTTGTTTTGTTTTGTTTTGTTTTGTTTTGTTTTGTTTTGTGTGTGAGAGTTTAGGGTGTTCCCAAAGAAGGATTCAGGGTAGTACCTACAGAAGTGCCTTCGTGTTTGTTATTTAAGCTGGAGGAGATTGAGATGGCATCCTTTGAGGGAGACGAACATATGTTTGCAATGGTTAAGTATTTGCTGAAGCATGCAAGAGTTCTGGAGAAGCTAATAGTTGATGCTTATGCACCGTGTGAGGAACAGCGGTTGTGTATCATAGAAGAAGTAAAAAGGTTACCAAGGAATTCAAAGACATGTGAAGTCGAGATCCTCTAACGTTTTCTATTCTCTTTCCAATTTTGTTTTGTTTGATATTGTGGGAAAATTATTCTAATGTTGTACAAATGATTTTCGGTAGGTGCGTGAATTTTTAAAATTTTAAGAGGGATGAATTTATAAAATTTTCGGGGTGAAAATAGAATAAAAAATATATAGGAAAAAATTTAAAATATATGATAATTTTAAATTTTCAGGGGGTGACTGCCTTCATCTGCCCCTCGATCCATCTCTGATCTTAATGTTAGTTGTTGACCGTCAATGATTATTAGTTTTTTTTTCATATTATGTCCTTTGTTTTATTTATTTATTTTATTTTTTTAATTTTGAATAAAAATCTATATCTTTGTGACACGTTTTTATATGATTTTGAGGCATGCTTTTCTCTACTATTGTGAGTGATTTTCGCATATCGTTAGGGTGCGTTTGGTTTACGGAATATAAGATTACCAATGAGAATAAAAGATTACCTGGGAATAGGATTACTGGGAATGTTACATTACTGTGTTTGATTGGTTTGGCAGGAATGTAAGATTACAATGTTTGGTTGAAGGAATAAAAAATTACTGGAATGTATATTTTACTAAATTGTCATTGATCTATATTTTTTAACAAGTAAAATTCTAAATATTTAAATAAAAATTATTTATATAAAAATTCTATATGTTAATAATATATTACTTGAGTATTTAAATATATCATATTATTTAATTTTAATTAATATTAAATTTTATATAATTTATGTAAAAATATATTAAAATTTTACATCAACATTTTAACTAAATGTTTACATTATGGAAACTAGCTTCGGTTTATACGTGACTCATTTACTGGGAGGTTTTTTGTATTTTTCAATCGACAAGGTTTACATTCTTCCATATACAATAATTTATCATAGATATTCATAATAATAAAAAGATGTAAATTATTTTTGTTATCTAAGATATAATATTTATTATATCTTCTATATACAATAATTTATTTATTTAACTTTTCTATTTATACTTAATTCTGCATACTTTATCATTATTATTTATCTTATGAATTTATATTACAAAAACATAATTCAAATAAGAAAATATAACACTAAAAATCATATTGTAGCTTTATTTCTTTTCTTGTTTGTTCATTACCATGTCATGATTACAATATGATTATTCTTTCGAGTGAATCCAAGACTTACCAGCATCAAAAAGTGATCTAAATATCAGTTTTAGATTGTGGGTGTATTTTAAGATGTGAAGTTTTTTGATACGATGATGAAAATAATTTCTCTTCCTTTCCTCTTTTGAAGGAATCATCATGTTGCTCAAAGAAGCAACATCAATTAACTGCTAATGGTAATGGCACTACTGGAGGTTTTTTTTCGTTTCAAGGTTGAAAAGGTGAGGGTGGTTCATTTATTAAAATAGTTCACAGCTGCAGAATGTGAACATTAGTGAGAAAAAGAAATTTATGAAATATATAGCTTTGGCAAGATGCCCATCACTTTCATACTGATTCCTTTGCAGGTGTGCTATGTGTCGTGATGGCCAGCCTGCTTCTCATTCACCTAATTTGCGATGTTCATCAAGGAGTTTCTCGAAACGTTCAAGACATTGAGAAGGTGTTCGGCCAACAATTGGGGCAATCGTCCTCCATTGCATTGGCATGAGCTTAGCAAGACGAAGCAGCTTCTCATCCTCTTCTCTAGTCCATTCGGTCTACATACATCACAAAAACACAAATGATCACTTGAAACTTGATAATTATTACTAGTTTTCTTCATCAAAATGAATCAAGTAGAAACAATTCAATTAAACTTAATAATTCAACAGAAAAACAATAACATATTCTCAGCAAGAAAACTACTTGCAGAGTTGCCATTTGAGTAACAAAAGGCTGCAATTCCCTACAACTAGACCACCCTCAATTCTTACTTTCACTAACTCATTTTACGCTCTCAAAAGTAAAAAGCTTATTTGACACAAGCAAATGAACAATAAGAATTGAAATTTGTGAATTTATTTTTATATGATACAATTATAAACCAATGCACATTACTCCACGTTTGTAGTATTTTGTACTTTTAGTCAAACAAATATTTGTTTATTTACCATTAGCTTCTGTTTGCATAGCAGACATTCGAGCAAGCACAAAGCAAGAAACAAGGAGCAACAAGAACATTTCTTTTAACCAAGCTTAGCTACTCTGACCAAAGGCATCAAATCAAAGAGCAATCTAAACTAAACTTAACTTTTCTAACCGAAGAAAACCTAATAATAATAGTGTCTATGGAAAATTTCAACTCATAAATCGAAACACTGAAAAGCTTAAATACCCAAAATTGATTCGATCTTTAAGTGTAAAGCTCCAATTCGAAACAAATCCAGGTGAACAAACATTAAAATTTTCCTTACAAGGAAAAGAAAAGATAAATTTACCTTTTTAATGGAGGGATCGAGCCACTTATACCAGCGAGCTTTACATTGCTTAGCAGATTTACGAACAAGCAAAGAAGAAATTCGAGCCCATTGGTTCTTCCCATATTTCATAATCGCCGCCTTCAATATCTTATCCTCCGTGTTCTTCCATACGCCTCCTTTTATCATAATCCTCATTTTGGCTCACGATTCTTTGTTACCTTGAAATTAAGGAAAGGTAATACTTCCAAAACAAGCTTTTGAAATGAACAAACTAATGCAAATTGTAAACCACTTTAAATAGCAACTTAATAAGTTTGAATTCATTCAAATCCCAAGCACAAATTATGACTAACAATTAAAAAGAAAATTAACAAAAGCCCAAACATCCAACAAATTCAGATAAGAGATGTCAAAAGTAAAAGCCAGAAAAACAGTTTATTTAAAAAGAAAATTAACAAAAACCCAAACATCCAACAAATTCAGATAAGAGATGTCAAAAGTAAAAGCCAGAAAAACAATATATAAACAATTTACTTTGTGATGTACCTTGTGACCTGATTTAATCATTGTACCAAGTGAAAATGGTGCAAAACTGATATGTTATCAAAGATCTTGATACTTGCCAATGCTAGTATTGGATGAAAAGATAAACAAGTACGTGCCAGTGGCATTTGATATTTTGTTTGAAAGGCCTATATTAATGTTCAAGCAGATATACAAGTGATTACAAGTTCCACCATATGTATATATAGTAGGTTTTGGGGTTTATTGATATCTAGAAAGTTTCGACTTCTTTTTAATTGAAACTCAATATCAGGAGATGCCTTTTTGTTCACATTACATCATGACATTAAACTTCTCTTTAATGGAAGTATGAAATGATATCAGTCTAGCTAGTAAACCTAATGTAGGGTAGTTACTTAATTGGTAGGTTAATGTTGAGAAATGGAAGTTTATATACATGTGCAATGATGATCTATCTAATGTCAATGTCCTTGTTCTTGGATTATGAAAATTTTGTTTTGGTATTTAAGCATTTACCTTGTAATTTTCATTCACTTGGTGGGAACTTCATACAAACCATCTAAAACAGACTATGCTCCAAGACATAGTGCACATGAGCCTTTCCATCCAGTGGGTTGTGCGGTAGATGGTGCCAGCCATAGTCAATTCGGTTTTGATCATCATTATCCGTACTTTCCTCCATCAGGGTATAGCCAACCTCATTAGCTGCCGCAACCTGCACCAAGCACTACACGGACACAGTTACCCCCAGGGAGTTATCATCTACCTCAGCAGTCACCATCCGCAACCAAGCACTAGTCAGCCACAATTCTCCCAGTCTCGCACATGCAATATGTTTATTTCTGTCTATTTTTCTTGGATGGATGCTATAACTTTTTCTTGGATGGGTGCTATAACCAGTTACTTGTAAGACCCATGAGCTCAACTAACTTCATCGACGAGAAGTTACCAAATGACTAGAACATAAACTAACATATCATTATACTAACATAATTTGGAAGATGGAAATTGGTGAAATCACTACGATTTCTCCCGATATATGACAGTCATACATGTTTACACTAACTAAATAAGACCCCCTACTAATCACAGCCTATGACAACTAACAATGTTAAACTACAAGTTCGAAAACTCAATCATTGTCTTGAATAATCATTCAATATCATTGCGAAATTTGAACACACTTATCGATCCATGAGCTCGGCTAACTTCAACGACGAAATTTGGAAGTTAGAAGTTGGTACAATGACTATGAATTCCCTTGATTATATGATCATCATACATGTTTACATTAATCATAAAACCCCAACATCACCATTCACAGCCAATAACAACCGAAAATGTAGAAATTTAAACTTACTTAAGAGTTCATGAATTCAACAAAAAGGAAAATTTCCTAAAGGTCAAACCTGGATACCAAGAATCTCAGCATCCTCAGCTAGGAACAAAGCCATATGACTAGTGAGATTAAACGGAGCCGTAAGCCACTTCCCAGGCGGCACATTGAGCTGCCCACTACCTCTCTACCCAAGCTTCGAGATCACCGACACGGTGTTTCGAACGCCACTGTATTCACCGTCACCCCATCACCTACACCACCGAAATCGATCAAATTAAACGCGAATGCCTGCATCTCGGCAGGGGCCGACCGAAAAACGGTTTCCCCCACAAGAAAAACCCCAGGTTGACATCAATATTCCGTTGCCACCAAAAAACCGAACAGAAAGCCACGATCCAAAAGACAGTAAAGAGATTCCGGTGTGAAGAGAAGAACGCCACGCCCCATCTCTTAAGCTCCTTTCTTTTTCTCTGCAACTGAAACCTCCCGACCGGCAAAAATGGCTCCACCATTTTCATGAAACAAGATGGGTCTAGTTTTGCGACATGGACAAAGAAGGATTTTCCTCTGTTACAAGCAAAAGGGTGTCTGTTTTTTTAGAGATATGGAGGAAAACGTAAAGGATCAATGATCATCACGAAGGGATTGTTTTCACCTTTGCCACTATCATTCGTTTTGCTTAAACTGGGAAAACTAGGAATTTTTCGCGCTTGGGGAGAAGAAGATATCACAGAGGCAAGTACGGAGAAAAGAAGGGTATTTTAGCACTTAAGCACGGGAATAAAAAATACCTAATATACATATATAAATAACATTCTCAGGAATGAACACAAAAAAAATCACTGTTGATAATGAGATATTACCCTCAATCGAGAATCTTACCCATCCAAACATGGGTATCTTAATTAAGAAAAAAATATTTCTACTGGGAATGTTTAAATCCTTGATCTAAACGAACCCTTAAGGTGTGTTTGGTTAGGGAATGTGAGATTCTCATAGGAATAGAATCTACATTCCCCCGTTTGGTTGGTCGGGAATGTCATTCCCGATAATCTTATATTATCAATAGTGGATTTTTTGGGGTATATTATCGGGAATGTCATTACCTCCATTTTCGTAGTTATTGTTGGATTACCGACGTTTTGGATTAAAATGCCCTTAAAAAAAATTTCTTCAAAAATATCCGTATTATGTCATTGAATAATAAAAATTATACGAAGGTTAAATTACAAATTTATCCTTAAACTATTTTAGATTTATAAAAAAATCTATAATTAAAATTTTATATAAAGTTTAGGGGTTAAAATAAATTTTACCCTTAGATTAAACTTTTTTATATTTTCAATTTTGTAAAAAAATATAAATTTTATGAATTTAAATTTTTAAAGAAAATATATAAATATTTTTAAACTCGTTAAAAATAAATATATAATAAGGATAATTTGGTCAAATATACATTTCAATAATCTTTTATTCTTTTAACCAAACACGATAATCTTACATTTCTGTTAAACCAACCAAAACACAAAATACAATATTTCTAGTAATCTTATTCTCTGGTAATCTTACATTCCCACTAATCTTACATTCTGTGAACCAAACGTACCCTTAAGATTGATTAGTGCTCACAAAGACCATCACTCTCTCGAATGTATTCACTCCAACTGAGTTGGAATCGATTAGAGTGAACAGACTTCCCGTGTCAAAGATGCAACCACCTTGCCCACTTCCTCTAAACTGAAAAATTAAGATAATTTCTTTTTATAAATATCCAATATTATGTCATTTTTTTTACGAATCGAATAATTCGAATAATGTGATACATTTCTTAAAGGACAATACAAAGAAAATATTAAAATTCATTCAAAAAACTCGAAAAAATAAATATATGAATAGATCTGAATGTATGGACAACGATTCAAAACAGAGATTAAGTTATTGAAAAACATATGGAGACCAATGTTGGTAGGAGGAGACTCTTTTAGAGATGAAGCAGGGGAAGCGGCGGAGAAGATAGGGCTTTGAAAAAACATATGGAAAATATGGGTAAATTGATATTTTATCCTTGAACTATTTTGGTTTACAAGAAGACTCATGATTAATAATTTATCTAAGTTCAAGAGTTAAAAATATTAAACCTTTTACTAAAGTGTCACGTCATCCAACTCACGACAGCTAATGTTTTAGTGACCAAATCTTAATAAATGATAATGTAAATGATCAAACTATGTTTTTGAATCTAGTAACTAGGGATGGCATAATGACCCGAACCCAACGGGGAAACCCGAAACCTGGTCAAGTTCGAGTCGGGTCGGGTTTGAATGATATCGGGTCGGGTCGGGTATCGAGAATTTTTTTTGGTCGGGTTCGGGGACGGGGCAAGATCCCCGCCCCGATTATATATATATATATATATATATAACATTTTATATTAATTATATATAATTTTTATATTAATTATATATAATATTTCTGGTTCGGGTTCGGGTTTGAGTATAATATTTTGGGTTGAGTTCGGGGACGGGGTAAAAAAAATCTCCGACGGGGATCGGGTTGGGGTTAGGGATTTATTTGGGTTCGGAGACGGGATGAGAAAAACCCACCCCGAACCCACTTCGTTGCTATTCCTACCAGTGACTAGGGGTTTGAGAAATTAAAATATTCATTCTCATCAAAAGATGACATATTCTGTAAACAAGCAATAAAATGTATTCCGTAAACAAGCAATAAAATAACCGATACATGCAACTACTAAATCAATTAAAGAATACTCTTCGAAAACTATCAATACATTATACATGTCACGAATTGTATCATACATATCACCATTATATATTCCATCACTAATAATATAATATATATATTTAACTGAAGTGTAATGAATCAAACGAAACCAGTCTGTGACAATATTTCATAACCTAAGGCTAATACAAAGGAGAACTAACATCCATTATTTTAATAACAAGTAGCAAAATATGTCTGATAGTTGTCCTGTGGGAATTTTCATTCAAACTCAGGGAGGACTCAAATTGATCATTTGCTCACCCCTATTAAATTGAAATTTATCCGTCAATGCAATCTAAGTTCTGACATTCCATAGCATTTTGTTAAGTGGTGCATGAATGAAACCTAATGGTTTAACACAACCCATAGCATTTTGTTAAGTGGTGCTCAGTAACCCTTTCCTGAATTTTGTAGTATGGTTTAACACAACCAACATGGAAGACAAATATGTCAAACATGAGAAAACATTTTACGCACAACAAATATATAATTAACTAAGCTGAAGCAAAGCCTTGCGAGAGATGCCTTAAGCAATCATGAGAATCCCTTGCACCTAAAAGCTCATTCAAGCATTTGTCAAACAGTTTACGCACAACAAATGCCCAATCGAAACACTGTCAGCTATGAAGAAAGGAAAATAGACCAGGCAAGAAAAGAGGAATATGTATTGTCAACATTATCCTAACAAGAAGTTTGCACCCTTTACAAGTTTTGAAGCTTGGAACTTTAAGAGCTCCCTAAATCTCTATATAACAGTTCCTATAGGAAAACAAACAATATCTTACTTGAGCTGTGCAGATGTTACTAGCAGCTTTGTCCCTAAGAATATGTCCCTAATTTTTTCGGTTTTTCGGATAATCCGGAAATGGTTTTTTACCGATCCGTATCCGATTCGATAATCCGAAAAAAAATTCGGATACCCGATTCGAACTATCCGAAATTGAAAAACGGATCGGATATCCGAATTTTCGAATCGGATCAACGGATTGGATAGGTGGGATCGGGTTTTTTTTGCACACCTCTACTAGTGACCATAAGTTTATAAAAAATTACTTTAAGATATATTGGTGAACCTAATTTTTTTATTGGTTGAGTAAATATAAATATAATAAAAAATTTTAACACAATATATATATATATATATAAAAAATATAATAAAATTTATATTTAAGTTGAATCTAGACAACTGGATTAATATAGCTTTTATATATATATATATAAAGTTGTAATCTAATTTTTAGGTTCGGGTATTAGGGTGGGTAAAGATTTAGATGAAGCCCAAGCTTAGATAAATGATATTTGTTTGTATCTTTATATCATTAAATTATTTGATTAATTTCTTGATTTTTTGTTGTCTATAGGTTAATTTTATACGCTTGGATGAATTAGTAATTTAGTTTTCTAGACTTCAATTTTTTTAATACAGTAATTTAGTGTATTTTTAATGAAATTAACTTTATTATAAATTGAAAAGTAAAATGAAAATTTTCATTAACACGATAGATAATAAATTGATTACGATTATGATAAGAAAGAATATCCATTATTTATTTATATATAAAAGGTAAAAACATAGTCAAAGAATCAGGCAACATCATTGGCACAAATCTCATCAGCAAAACTGAAGTTCACCAAACAATTCATCATGGATAATACGTTTATTTGTTGATGCCATGCTCCAAGTATAGATGAGGAGACTCCCCTTAGTACTCCCACGCAGAAATACCCTCGCCTGAACACATTAACGTATCTTCCATTAACGTTGTAATCGGCTCCATTGAAATGGAACGTTAAAGATGCAAAATCATTATAAAAACTTGGTTGGTCATAACACAAATCGAATCCTCCTTGCTCTTTGGGTCGTCTTTGAAGCTGTTTCGACCCATAATAAGCATTAAACACTTGCATTACTCTCTCGTATGCATTCACTCCGATTGTCCCGGCGTCGATGAAAGTGAACAAAGCTCCGGAGTCTATTAAAATACCACCGGCACCGCCTGCCCTGAACTGAAAGTAGACGGAGGAAATCCGATACGATAATTGGCCACACTTATATCCAACAATTGTAAGTAGTAAAAATATTTGTTTGTGTCGGTGGTTGCACGATCAATGTTGATTGAAGGTGTCCTGGGGGGAACTTTGGAACGTCTTCTCCGAACCTTAGAACAAGCGGAGGGGGTAATGCGCCGGTAATAGGTGCAAAACAGTAGGAGAATCGAGAATGAGTTTCGGTCGAAAACTGTCTCGCCATCGAATCCGGAGAGATGCTTACTCCAAATACACCTGAAATCTCAGTGTTCTGGAAAAAAACTTGGCTGCTATCGTTAGAGCAACCAAACGGCATTAAAATCCCGTTTATTAGTTTTGTCAATCAAGAAGTGGAATGATTCTGTTGATAAACGCCCTTAGTGGAGGTGCCACCGCCATAGTTAACGGTGTAGCGACATACACCGTCGATACAAGCGAGGTCTTTACCCGGGTCTTGCAGAGACGATGTTCACAAGGGAGTGTGTAGCAGTGTTAGAAAGTCGAGGATCATAAACCGGAAGCCTTTGGGGGAAACAATCTGGCAAGGCTGGCATTGCGTCCATATTAAGCCACCTCCGGTGTCCATCAGCAACTTCACTCGGTGCCCTTGGCTTCCTATTGTAAACTCTGCGGCATACCATAAATTCTCTCGTAATAATGGTATTCGAATATTATCGGGAAGTTTCGATGTATCCGAACTCGAAATTAGATTCAAATAATTGGCTCTAGCATTTGAAACGTGGATCCATCTCTCTGTTCTTCTTCTACAGTCAGATTTTGAATACCGTACAGAGGAGAGCTTGGAGAATCATCCACATCAACCCTTAAGGTCAGACCAATGGGATTTGAAGTAGAAAAAATGAGAAATGGGGTTGAAATAATGATATCACACAAAAGAAAAACAACACTTTAGAAGTGAGAAATTAAGGGATAAAGTCATTTCTCTAGTGAAAAATTAAGCCTGCAAT